GTGCCTACGGAGCTAGACAGCGGTGAGGCAGAGGCACAGCTGGAGCCAGTGTGCGCATGCGCAGAGCTGCCAGAAGAAAAGAACAACTCAGAAATCAGGGTAGTCTTGGGAGTAAAGTCACAGGTGGAAGGTGATTGGCCCCTCCCATAGGAAATAAAAGAGGAGTGAAAGGGGAGGGGGCTTTTGTAGGAAACAATTCGTTCGTTCGTTAGTTAGTTCGTTTCAGGAGTGTGAAGATCTGTCCGTGAATATGAGAGACTCTGTGCTAAGTCTTTCCTTGCACAGCACTGCATTTGGACAATATTTACATGGCAGATTTCCAAGATAGATAAGATCTGTAGTCATAAATATTCATTTGAAAGACTGTTTGCCAGGCCTTTGCTGAATGGGAATGAGAGGAATTCACATGCGTTTAATAAAAGGGGTTTTGTCGGGACCAGGAATCTGCCTTGTGCTTTTTGGGGAAGCCTAGGTCAGAAAGCCTGATTACAGGGCCTTGTGTGGATGTCTATGTCTTGCGCTCTCTGCACACAAATGTGATTCATTCATTTAGTGTTTACAGAACAATTTGCAACCTTGGATCGCTGCCAGAAGATTGATCTTAGAGAATGAATTAGAAGGAATGAGAAGGAATGATCTTAGATGAATTAACACAATGAAAAACCAGTCAGGAATCTGCTGAAGGAATGTCTTGGGAGAAACACCTGGAAAAAGTGGCCAGAAGCCTGCTGTGGGTAATCCCGTGTCTCCTCCAGATTTCAAACGGAACACAGTTGTAAATGAGGCGCATTTCATCCAGACTTCCTTTTCTCCCCATTTTGTATGCTTTAAAATGTGCATAAAGACAGGTATCATTTTTAAAAAGTAGAGGCTGCCCTCCCTGTTTTGACACAAATTCAAGATCCTTGTTTATTTATAAAAAATTAAAATGCCAGCAGGAGACAAAAGCACTGGGAACCACAACAACAACAAAGGTACATATATATTATACAGTATACATTACAGATATATTCTGTTCTATAATATGAATTTAGAAAAATTAAAACCTTGATTAAAAGTACATCAGAATTTTCCAAAATACCAAGGGGAAAAAAGTTATATATACAAAGTTTTATATATACATACAGCCCCCATGGTGATTTTAAAACCCAGCCACCGGGATCCCAATGCTCCAAAAGTGGCCCCAAAATAAAACACTGTTTTAGAATATGACTTAGGTCGAGTAAAGTCCCAAAGGAGAAAGAATGAATTAGGGAAATGCAGGCTCAGTTAGTGCTTGAGTCAGTACTGTAACGGCAGAGAGCAAAAAGTATTTTTTTCCTGCTGCCCAACAAATCCCCGAGGACAGGGGAGGAATCTTAATGCCGTGGGTTCTACAATTTCGGTGTTGCCCATCCAGTAAAAGATTTGTGCGTTGTCTTTACAGCTCTGCAAAATCCAAAATGTGGCTGGACGAGACAAAATACTTTTTTTTTTTTTTACCTCTCCAAATACTGGAATATACTTCGGGTTTCTTGAACTGATGTGCTGTCAAGTCGCAGCCGTTTGGGAGAAGGCATGGCAGCAGCAGGAGGCAGAGTTTTTCTCTTGACCTAGGAAATGTCCGGAAGCAAGTTTAGTCCCAAAGATTTTCTAGATGACCAGAATCTCATTCATTCAATCTGCCTGGATGTGTCTCAGTCACTGGCTACCGGAAAAGGACCAGGGTGTTCTCGGTTAAAGGAAGCATCTTTATCTAACTTATCTTTGAACTTTTTATTTGCCTCTATAGTCAGTTGACCAACTGCTCTCTCCAGTTCTGAATAACACCATCTGTCCTGACCGAGGCTTCCCAAGAGCATGAAGCAGACTCCTTGACCCAACAAACCCCTTTCATTAATTTACTGAGAATTCTGCTCATTCACATCCAGCAGAGTTTTTCAAGGGAGGATTTACAGTCACAGACCTTCTCTGGCTTGGAGAGCTGCCAGGCCGATATCTGCAGAATTTGGCAAGGAGCCTTTGAGAGTCACGAACCAATTAAGTGAACTAATTGTCTCCTGCAAGCTCCCCTTTTGATCCTCTTTTATTTCCTCTGGGAGGGGACACTCATTGTCTACCTGTGGCCTTACTCCCAAAGTCAATCCCTGTTCTTTAGCTGTTCCCTTTGTCTGACCACTCTGTGCATGCGCACACTGGGAACAGGCTCCAGCTGTTCTTCTGCCTCATTGCTGTCTGATTCTGAAGGCATCTGATAACTGGCATACGGCCCTGTCCCCCTCTTTGCCTCCGACACAGATCCTTCATCAGAGCCTTCTCCAGAGTCCAGGACTGACTCTGTTCTTCCCCAACCTCCTCACTGTCTGAATCTGCTGCCAGCTCTGCTGGCCACTGTCGGGCTACAACATCATCCAAGCCTAAACCAAACCAAGTCTAAAAACACCAGGGAATTTCTAGAAAACTGGCACTCTGATAAATTATCCATCAACAGACACATAGATATAAACAATACCTATTTACTGTGCAAAAGAGACAATCAACACGCCAAAAAGGGAACAAAAAGACCGAAACACCTCCTTGCCTGCGATCAGCACCCAGATGAACATAGGTTAACTCCAAGATTAACATCAGACCAGCAATCGAGTAAACGAATGTCCCAATCAAGGAACTGCCAAACAAGTCAACAATAAACAGCCCAACCAAAGAACCTTCAAGACCATCACGTCAGAGCAAGCAACTAGAATATGAACTGAGAGCAAACCCCCATCCGTAGTAACTTAAGACTACTTTGTCATTTTGAATGTACACTGATCGGCATACATGAAATCGAAATCTCATTGCAGACAGCTCTCAAAGGGTCACCACTTCTAATATACACTACATAAACATGACAAAATAAATATAAAATTATGCATATACCAGGGGTAGGTTCCTGCTAGTTCTAACTTCTTCTATAGAAGAGGTTCCATAAATCTACAGTGCTGTTCCAACTCCCTCCCCCAGTCTGTCCGGACATTATCAAGATGAAGAGCGAGAGGAGGAATTCTGGGAGTTGAAATCCACAAGTCTTAAANGTGGAAGCGCAGAACTCGTCAAAACCGGGTAAGGACCGCGGGCAGGCGGGCGCACCCTTCGCCGTTCCCGGAAGTTACTTACTTCCGGGTTCGGCGACCAACCGGTTTGCAGGGACCGCCACGAACCGGTTGAAACCCACCCCTGACACTGGCACACCAGAAACCTGAATACCAGTTGGCTGGTGCGCATGCCCAAAAAAATGGCCTGAAAAATGCCCCCAAAATGGACTGAAAAACGAAGTGAAAACAACCTGAAAAGCAACCTGAAAAGGGCCGAAAAATGGGCTGAAAACAAAGACCAGCTGGCAAAAGCGCACATGCTCATAGGGTTCTGCCATAGGTTCGCCATTATGGGTATAGGGTCTCCAGCCATAGGCAAGGGATTGGACTAGAAGACCTCCAAGGTCCTTCCCAACTCTGTTATGTTCTCTATTCACGGACTCCCTGTACTATTTCACTTTTAAACTGAATATAACTTCCTCCTCCGCAAATGGTGACCAGTCGTTCTGATCTGCTTAGTCCTTGGCTTAAGCATTAACTGCTCTCTGGTGAGAGCGGGGGTAGAAATCACTTCCTGGTTTCCCAGATTCTTCTCTTGGTGCATTCCAATAAGGTGATTCTAAGATTTGCACCATATCTTTCCACCATATAAGATAGCACTCTTTTGGGGGAAGAAACATAACCTCCCCATGCAAAAATGCAAAACAGGAAGCGTTTCCTTCCAGGGACCCTCTTAAGACATTTAACAACTTTTGTTCCATTGACAACGTATGTCCCTTTCATCTCCAATTTAACTCATCACCAAGAGGATGGCCCCAATTTTCACTGCAAATTCCTGAGCTTTTGCACAAATCTCTCCCAAGGTTTTCAGTCCTGAAGTGTAATAGAAATGACTGAGAGGGACAGAGAGATAGAGAAACGCACAGAGAGAGTGTTTAAAAACGGCTATCCAAATAGCTTAGTGATTTGGGGAAAACTCCACACAATTACGGAGCAATTGGAGGCCACATTCCATTGCTGTGACAACTGCAATCTGGAGATGGTTATGCTGAAAAGACACAATTGGGCATGCAATGAATGGCATATTAAAGTACAATAAATATGATCACCAATGATATTCTCTCTCATGCACGGACACACACACCAAGCAATTCAGACCAAAATGGGCAGTGTCATCCTCGTGGAGCAAACTAGACAGGAATCACAACACATCATTAGCTCATTTTACTTTATTGTAAAGTCACATTCACAGAAGTCTGAAAGTACAATTCTCTTTTCCCCTCACCTTGGTCTGTTTTACAGGCCAAGAAATTAGGGAGAGTCCCTTCTGAGCCTCTTGGCCATCCCACTATTTAGCCCTGGGCTATGCTATCTCTTATCTAATTGTTCCCTTGGCAGCATCTCTTGGCTCAGTTTCCCAAAGTGTATCCCACTTACAGTTACACTGATAGACCATTCCTTCTGCCTTGATTGGAAGATGGATGGATGGATGGATGGATGGATGGAAGGAAAGATAGATAGATAGATAGATAGATAGATAGATAGATAGATAGAT